GTCACAGTAAACTAACCAAAATAATTTTATTTACCATTTTAAAATATGAAAAGTATTATTATAATATTACTATATTATCGATTTTCTATACTTACTAAATGAAAACTAAAGCATAACATGAAAATGACTACGCAAGCCTATTTCAAAATTTGAGCTCCCTATGAAAATAAATTCACAAAACTCAAAAAGCTTAATAAAAAGATCAAGCCATTGATAGACTGAGAGTTCACCCACCCACTCCTGCAATTCAGAAAAATCCCATTTAAAAAAGAATTACAGTTCCTCCTGGAAGGAGGACACATTTTTCAAAGTAAGTCAGTGCATACATGTTGCCAGGACTGTCTTAAGTGAAAAAGTGATATCTCTGTTTGGTTAAGGATCACTGGATTGCCAGCGGTAAGCTAGGGTAAAAACAGTTTTGAATCAATGCAAACGCGGCACTCTGCGCCCCAGCTGAGATTATCTGAAAATGCACTTATTACACAGTACAAAGCATGCTACCAAAAATCAGATAGGCCTGTGCCCCTCGCCCAAGTGGCTGCCGGCAGGAGGCATGTGGCATGTGGGCAGTGCCAGCACACAGCCACCTTGGTCACTGGGGACCCGCAAACATGCCGGCGGTGTGGCCAGAGGGTCCTGCACACAAAGTTCTCCCCTACCTAGGCTGCAGAAGCCAGCCCGCACCCTCCATCTCCCCCTTTTCTCCTTTCTCTTCCTTTTTTTTTTTTTTTCCCTGCCCTCCTCCCCAAGAGACAGAACACAGTCTGGTGCTTCAGGGACTCACATAGGCCAGGCTTCCTTCTGTGCAGCCCTTTGGGTAGGGCTGCTAATCCTTCTTATTAATTAACGAGATAATAGCAGTTAACCGGAAAGCAATATTAATGCTAACTATCTAGGAAACTTCCAACAGAAATGATTTAGTCTTTTTGCTGATTTTGTGGTAACAAAGTCATGCAGCTGGAACTGTAGCAGCATCTTGAGGGTTTAAGAAGTTAAAAAACCAAGAGTGCCTGAACAGTATTGGACTAAGGACATCTGCATGTATTTTCTGCCCTCCTTCTTGGATAGTTTAAAAGATCCTCCCCTCCCTCAACTTCAGAGTTTATTAACAGCTGGGGATGCGGGCTTCCCCAGTTATATCACTCTTACACAAGGATAAAGGAGAGTGTAAACAGTAACATGACTGATCTGAGAAATGTACTCTGAGAGGCACATGCATTAAAAACTCTTACAAATGTTTACCATTTACATGTACCATTGCTTTAGTCCTTTAAGCTCCCAAAGCATTTCTCAAGGTCTACTATGCTTCATTCAGTATGTGCTGAAATACCTAGCATCAAGTTTGCATTTTATTTATGCTGAAAAAAACAGCAGAGATGATGCAGGGATTAGGAATTCTGCAGATGAGGCACATATTTTATGTTTTAGAAAAAACAGCAATGCAATTTTTAATTTTTTTTTTTAATTAGCCATTGTAAGAGTAAGTAAAACATCTTTCAGAAGAAGGGATTTATATTATCTGGGTTCTGTTGCAGCAAACAAGTACTGCAGCTTTCATTCACTGATTGTCAAAAACTTTCCAATGTGCCCACTGCAATGCGGATGCCAACCAACGAATCAAAGGCATTCAGCAACTAGACAAAGAGGGTCTGATGCCAACCTCGGTGCCACTGGCAACCATTATTGGCATCAAGCACATTGTCTGCCTTTTTTTTCCCCTCTCCTGGCACTCGACAAACAAAATGGCGGTTCTTGTAGCAATGAGAACACAGCATAAGCGCTGCACTGAATCAAATACCATCAAATGATTTTATGGACTGAGATGCATTTCATACCAAACGATTTGATAAAGCCGGGGGGGGGGGGGGGGAGGAGGGTGGACCTGATACACACAATAAGCAGAGCCCCATAGAAATGTGTTATGATTAAGAATTATTTTGATGTTAAACATTGATCACAGTGCGTACTTCCCATTTTCTTCCTCCATTTCAGTCAAAGAAGCAGCATAGTAACCTATGTCAAGCCCCTTTTTCTTTTTTTTTTTTTTTTAAGATCCTAAAGCATAAGAGGATAGTAGAAAGAGAATAGGGGGAAAAAAAGATGCTGAATTCTAAGGGAGGTGAGCAAAAAGTAGAAAAAGACTAAGTTGATCAATGACAGAACTTCATAGGTCAGTCCTTATTCCTTGTTTCAAGGCAGGCATGGAAGCAGAAGTTCTTTTTATTAAGAACTGAAAGGATTATTGACACTTCTAGATCTGGAAATTGTCAATATATTGTAACATTACTCTGCACTGCAATGCGGATGCCAACCAACAAATCACAGGCATCCTAGGCTAAACAAAGAAGGTCTGATGCCAATCCTGGTGCCACTGGCAACCATCACTGGCACTCAAACTACCCTTCCTCCTCTTTTTCCCCCTAATCTTCTTTTTTAAAGCAACAAAAAAACCCAAAACACTACTTGGCCCCTTTATTCATTTTATGTGCTAATTCCTTCTTCATATTTTGTTCAGGGATTTAATTGTTTCTATGTCTCCACTTAGTTTTTACATGATGCTATTAGGCGGGTTTATATATTCCAAAAGAGAAGTAAGAAGCAAAACAGCATGTGTGTAATGCAGCATTTTTGTTGACTTCATGCTTATCTTTTGTAAAGCCTGGTGCTCTTAATCAAGTGCACTACAAAGCGCCACAATTAACATGCTTTCAAGGAGAAGAGAGAATCAAAGTTTGACAAAATGGAAAAAAAAATACAAAGATAACTTAATATGACTTCTTCAAGAAGACAGTCAACAGATGTTAATGGAAGATTTACTGTGAAGCAGCAAGACAGATACAAAATACATGCAGTTTACAATAAACAAAAGGGCCTACTAAGGGTGACTTGGTACATAGAAATCAGCCAGCTTCATCTTCCAGTATATTCTCAACGTAGCATCATGTAACTTTGAAAGTTATAATATTACAGCATGCTTATCTTACTCATTTCTGATTAGACAAGTGTTTTAAATAAACTGCTATTCTCAATCCATTTAAATCAATAAAATCAGCTATGCCCTGCAATTCCTTCTCCCACTTCAAATTATGGGCTTCCAACAACTTAAAAGTGGACAGTGTGTAAGAGTACTCTGACCCCAGCTCCTTTGGCTCAAGAGCTACTTAAACTGTTTTGCCTCCCTTTGTAGTTTTGGCTTTTAGAGACAGGTAAATCCATTAGAATTAATCAGTAAGCTATGTCTTGCAATATATGCATTCAAAATATCATTTGAATTTTTCTTTACAAAAGGAGTTTAAAGGTACAAATTATTTGTAATTAAGCTATTTTGTTTAATGCTATCAAAGAAATCTTTCTTCCTATGTTATAGGGGATCAGATTTACCAGACTCTGCAGCCACTTAAAGTTACTGCAAAATATCTGTGTTGTCTACTGCTGTGGAGAGAAAAATATAAAAATTACAAGCAGGGAAAAAAAAAAAAAACAACAACATATTTTTTCATGATGAATAATCCAAAAAATTGAACCCTATTTATATGTTCACGTAAACATAGTGCTCCACTTGCGTGAGTAAATGCTAAAAGACAAATTCACTGAAAACAAAAAGGTCGTGTTGTGTATCTGTTCTTTTAAAGAATGAGTACACACCAAATGAAGACATGCGCAATTTTACTTTTTTCTTACTAACAAAATCCATTCCGTTTGTTTTTCAGTTAAATCCCGCAGTTATGTATTGGGCATCAGATAACAGCCTGCCATCTGCCCTTCTGCAGGCCATTTCTGCCTACTACCAGCCCAAGTTGTGAAATGGCCCACCATCTGCGGCCAGTCGAACTTTCCCTAGTTGAGATCTGCGGCTAAAAAAGAAATGCTTTATTACTGCTGAACAGTCAGCAATACAAAGACATCTAGAGGATGGTATAATCACCAGAAAGAACCAAAATGACCCCTCACAGAGAAAAAGCGTTTAAGAAGGCTTAGTATCGGGGGGGGGAACCTGTATCTACTTACAGCCATTTACAGTTTCGGGGAACCTGCCTATGAGTATTGTTATCTGAATATGCATTATTACTAGCAGTTTTTTCCCCGATATGTGATTATCAGAAGCCCTGGTTTTATTTCCATTCTGTAAAACTAAGTTTAAGAACCTTTTCCATAGTGTTCCTGCAAATTTCCACATTTAAATTATCTGCGAAATAAAATTAAGTATACGGGTGTGATTATGAAAATACCCTTTTCATGGAAAATTCTCTCAAAATATTACAACTTGGACCTTTGTTTTAAAGCTCAGATAGGTAAGATGAGCTAGTGTAAAATAGCTGGTGGTGTAAAATAGCTAGTGATATAAAATAGGAATAAAACGTTAAGTACTGTATGCTGTAATTCTGACTACATATGGTATTTACAAGGCAGTATTTCTGTTCTAAAGTTTTTTCATGTTTTATATTATACACGTGAGAAAGTCTACAATTGCTCCTCAAAGTGATAGTAGGTTCATCAGTTTAAGGATGAATTCTTGATAATTTGTAACTACAAAGACAATAATAAATATTTATAGAATTTATTATGATTGTGCAATTGCACGTACTTGCATCTGTTACTAACAGTACTGGGGGAACTAAAAAAAAAACAACTTGAAAAACAAGGAGAATGTTTTCTGAAGTCATGACTGGAAAAACTACACAATATATTGCCACTTTTTGAAAAAAAAAAAAAAGGCAACTTCAAAAGAACTGAAGTGCTACCTTGGTATGTCCCTTTCTCTCTTGAAAGAGAACAAGGCATGTATGTCAAACATACATGTCATTTACACAGGTCTGTAGGAATGTGTGTGTATGTAAGTATATACGTATACATGCTGATTTACATATGGATATGTAGCCACATTATGTCTATAGACCACAGAATAATGTTTCACTGGAAGCCAGCCCATAGGGGAAACAGGGCTACTTGGAATCAGAGTTTGACATACTAACATAGAAACATGACAATCTGATTCCTACCTTGCTCCTGCACGTAGTATGCCAAAAACAAATCAAGCTCCTTGACTGATACTGTTATGTGATGTGGCTGGACGCAAAGTGCTGGATTTGTGCAATGTGGGGATTTCATGAGCCGCTCTCCATCCGTACTTTCCAAGGGGATGCCTTTGAACAGGATCACCATGACTAGATCCAGACGCCAGACTTTGTCAGCCTGTCGCAGGCAGTCGATTCTCCTAATCTTACCCTTCTGGTCAGGATTGGACAATACACAGCATGGGTGCTTCTTCCCAGTCACCGTGAGCACAAAATCCTCCCGGAACTCTTGGCGAATATCTTTGCGCAGCTTGGCCAGGAGCCTGGATGCCCACTTCTGTTTAATTTCAGGCTTTTCGCTAAGCAGCTCATCCTTGACTGCTCTTTCCTCATCCTTTGACATTCGTTTCTCATGTTTTTTAAAGTACTTGCGTTTTCGAGCCTGAAGGTTGAACCAAGTATAGGCAATTGCACGGACATGTGGAAGAAGTGCCTCAATGAACGGGTGAAATTCATCCTGTGGAAAGAAGTGGAGGAGAAAAAAAAGAACAGAAGAAGAAAACTCAAAGTCAGTAAGTTATCATAATCAAAGCAGTTTCTGAAAATCTTAAAGTGAAATCCAAGGTGAAGAAAATAAACACTTAAAATTTACACAAATTTCTGCATAACACCTTTTACGCAATTACTAGCACTGTCAGACAGCAGACAGAAAGTACACAGAGAATCACATTTTCCCCATATTTCACTCTCTGAAAAAAACATGTGAAGATTTTATTTTGTATGCCTCCTCTCACTTCATCCCGCAACACTGCAGAGAGAACATCATTTAAAAGAGATGCTACCAAGATGTTTTTTTCTAACATTTAAATATCTGAGTGAACAGCTAACATTAAGAAAAGTACCATTGCACAAAGAGGACACTATACGGTTTTAAAAAATCTGAGCAGAAACGTTCAGAAGGCTGAGGCGAATGCCACAGTTCATTTCTCTTCTCTGTGGCACAGAAACACAAAGCATATACATGCTCAGTGTAATGCCACACAGTTCCCGCTTTTGGAGCATGCTCTCAGCAAGAGACTGCTGGTGGCACAAAGAGCATGCGCCATTAAACTTGATCCATTTTCTTATCAAACGTCCAACATTCCAGCACTGAAACGGCACCATTCCAGTGGTGGTAACTAGAGAAACCAGTATACAGTAAGGGAAAGTGGGCAAAAGACACAGCGTGTCGTATACAAATCCTGAACAGAAGCTTCTGTACTTTCAGCTCTTCAGGCTTCCCTCCCACCACCCCCAAACTCTGTAAAATAAAAGTTTATGAAGTTGAGAACAAAAATTATATTTATGTTCTTCCGGCAGCTCCACTGTGGGTTTTGAAGCCCCACAGAGTCAGTTAATTTGTTAACTGATCACATGAGTGTGGCAATTATTCTAAACCCCTTAAAAATCAATCTGAGGTGTACAATGAAAAATGGCAACTTGGCACAAACTTTGCATTCTTTGTGTTTCTGCATGCTGTGGCAGAGTGACATTACGAGTGCACCGCTGGTCAAATGCTGCTTTTGTGAAATCCATGCAATTTATTTACAGTTCCAAAATATCCCTTTCTGTCATCTGGCTTCACCTGCAAGTTCTTATCTTCTGCCTAGCAGCGATATGGATTGCATTAAGGAGGTAATGCTTAGTTGTCGTCTACAAGCACATCCTATAGCAATTAAATTAATTCGTTTTGTCTGCTTCAAGTACCATCCTACACATCGATGTTAATATCTAAATAGGCCTTTCCCAAAAACTAATGCCTCTTTTCCATGAGCAAATCCGATGTTTAAAACAGCGTGATCTGCTTATCAAACATTACTGTATTTTGGTTTAGGAGGGAGACGTTAGGGGAGGTATCTTTCTTCCTGCGTGCAGGCATATTTAGTTTTAAATACCATGTAGATTGCTCATCATACTGAGGGGCATGGTGCAATCAAACTAAAACTGAACCTTTTTTATACAATTATATTCGAGAATACATTTAACAAACTAATATTTTAGCTACGCTGCTAGACAAGGAATGAACTATGTTTAATCAATAGGCTGATTAACTACATTAGGTAAAAATGATGAAAGCATAACTAATGGTCTCAATTAAACAGAGTTCAGATTGCCATTGTAGAAGCTTCAGGCCAAGAATTTAGTATTTAAATCTTCAAATTTCAAACAAACTTCAAAATTTCCTGAATGGTAAAAAACCCCACTAGATCTAGTTACCGCTCTCTCCTAACCGTCCTCAAATCAAACAGAAAACAGCAGAAAAGTTGCAAGCAATTTACCTATGACCATGTTACCTTCACAGAAAAAAAGAAAACCAAAAAAAAAAAAAAAGAAAAAAGATGAGAGAGACAACATAGGAAGATAATTCAGGACATAAACATTTGCATTACAGTATGATGCTTGACAAAGAGTGACAAAGGCAATAATTAAACCGATCAGTAATTTCCAGAAGAGATTTGAACAATTCTGATACTATACTGGCACATAAAACTAGGCCATGGAAAGAGTTAAACCACAATCTGTTCTTTGTGTGGGAAGGCAATACTGCTCTGAGTAACCACAGCCCATGATAAGACTTCCCTATCTTCATACGTTTTCTGATGCCATGCTTTTTTTCCCTTCAATTATAACTACTAAAGAAAGTTTATTTTTTCTTCTACAGAAGTCATCTTAATCAAAGTATTCAAATAAAGTTAAAAAAATAAAATAAGCATAGAAACTGTGCAGTATTAAATCCTTACAATTCATTTTAGACTGAATAAAACAGATTTACTACAGATTTTGAAAATTCTAACAGCTGGGGCTAAAGGTGAAGTGAAGAGAGGGGGCTGAAGAGCTTTGGGAGAAATGAATTTTTGCCCCAATACAATGATTTCCCCTACACCTAAACAGACTTGAGCATTTATAACTTAAAATGGCAATAAAATTAATGTGGAAATATTCTACACTACTAGAATGCTGCACGTATAGTTTTCATTTTTAAGAAAAACATCACAAACTATTTTGGAATGGCTATGCCTTTGGATAATGCACATAGTATTACCAATAATAACATATAGCATTTTACATCTATGAAAATTTTATAGAGAAAAATTCCACTTTTTACATTCCAATCTGTAGTGGTTGAATGTTTCCTTTTCAAAGAGTGAAGAAAAAAAAAAAAAAACAAACAAAAAACAAACCACACAACCTTTTTAAAACTGTATTCAGGCTTTTCTTTCATAGAAACACAGCAAAGAACATCCTGTTCTAAAGCAAAATTATCAGGTATCTTTGAGAGTTTCATTGTGCATCTGGAGTCCTTTCAAATGAAACATTACTTGACAAGAAGAAGTGCCCATAAAAATGATCCTAAATGGAGATTTGTAATTAATCACACACGTTCTCCACTAAACCTCCTAAAAAGCCACCTACAGAATTTGATTTTTTCCCCCCTTAATGTTCACAGAGGCAATATTGAAACATTTTTTTATGTGGCACTTACCCGTGTGCCACAGTTGCTCTTGCAATAAAGTGATTAATGGAGGTAAGATTTTGAAATGTCATATCAAATGGCTTAGGTGAACCATTGTGCACTCGCAATTTAAATTAATATGGAAGTTACTATATAATAATATTTCTGTAGCTTGTAAATAAAGGAAAAAATACCAGTCATCTAATGATGATAGGTAGGCCAGATTTTCTTTTTGGAAAAGGTAAAGGGGAAACGCAGCGCCCTTCTCCTATCTTCCACTTTTATAAACTTTGTATCAGTTCATGTGAGTTTGAACTGACAACCATATAATAAATATACCAGGCAGAAATCTAGAACATGTACTCAATTTCCCTGCATGGATATTCTCTGTGCCTAATGAAGCAACATATTCCAGGAGGAAAAGAAAACGACAACATATTCTGAGTTTCCTGGACCACCATAACATAAAAATAAACCATGGCAAAAATATCACAAGAGACCAAGCACTTAAAGGCATGCAGTAGCTGCATCCTATCATGCCTCAGCAAGAGAGATAAATGCAGTTTACACTAATTCCAAAACAGGGGGAAAGAGGCATGTGGGAAGGAGAGGAAAGGACCCCCAAAAAATTAAATTGCATTTGGTAAGTCTTCATTCTTTCTTGGAGCTATTTTATACCCACCAAACTTTTATTGAAAGAGTGGTGGGGAACATTCAAATTGCCAAGGTTTGTCTTAAAGCTGTACTTTGGATTTTAGACTTGTTTCTAAAAGGTGATTCAGCGCTGTCTCGGCACAAATTGAACTACTGCTTTCACAAGGAGCTCAGTCCATACAGGTGTTCTGTATTTAGAACTTTTACCAAAATATTTTCTTCTGAGCATACACGACCATAGTCAACATGCACAGCAAGAGCCCTAGAGACGGAGAACACAATAGACAGAACAATTTTGGCAGTACTACTTTAACTCAGTCGCAACTCAATAAGGTTAATCAATCTTTTTGCTTTAAATAAATAAATAAAAAAAGTATAAATTCTCATTGCCAGTGTAATCTTAATTTTTAATTTCTGAAGAGGAAATATGATTTTTAAAATGCCTTTATCATTCCAAATAGGTAGAGAAAGATCCCAAATTAAAATCAATTTGCTGCAACTGTGTTCCATGTATGTACCACTAAATGGGAACGGTCTCTGGATGGCACATGATACAGCGTGATTGCAAAATATTATGGAGAAGATATCAATGCACGAAAGCCAGGAATTGCTTTCTTGTATTTATGGCTGTAGTTGTGTTTTTCTATACACCTGAGTGACGGATTTTAATACAGATTTGTAAAGAATGAGGAAATCTATTACATCTGTGAGTCCAAAAAGCAAACATATGGAAAAAAAATGTCTTTAGAGCAGGAAACAACAAAATGTACTGCCCGCTGTAATAGAGGTGGTAATGAAAATTTGCTTGTTTCCAATGTAAAAACCGCTTTCTTAAGTTGTACTCTCAGGTTTATACTCTGGTGCAGAGGTCTTATTGCCTGTCAATAATTTCACAGGATGGACAGCCCACACAGAATTAATTTCTCCTAATTGCAGATTCCACCATAAGTAATTATTTCTATGTGTGTACCTGTAAGCATGTGTGTATCTGTTACACAAAACGCTTCCTACATGCATTCATTTCTCTTTTGAAGAAGAAATATCTCAACAGTACTCTTTTCCAGCTTTGCTCCACTGCAGCTCACGTTTACTTGCTGAAAATATCCATATCTAAGTCAATCACACTTAGATGCCAAACAAAATATAAACAATAAAAAATGTGTCAGCCAAAAAGCTACAGGACTGTATCCAATCACTGAATAAGCCTTATCATTGTTGCCATCTTCATTCACAATTTATGAATACTTCAGACCTTCTGAATTACAATGCTTTCTAATTGTGGAATAACTTAAATCATATTTATTTATTCACCGTGCAGCTATAAGTGTATCGTTGGCCGCTTAATAACAGTGTTGCAGGAGACGTTACTT